GCAACGCCCCAGCGGCGGGGCCGCAGCTGCAGCGAGGGAGGCGGTGGCGCTTGCTGCAGCTCTCGGACTAGGCAAGTTGAGTTGCCGGCTGGTAGGCTTTTCCAGACCCCTCACCAGCCCGCCTGCCCGCCAGTACCGTTCTCCACGATAGGCTAGGTGATCCAGCCTCTGACCCCGACAGCAGAAGTCTAGCTGTGCCTAGGCTCCTGGGTGCTGCTCATTGCCCTCCTCACGGGTGCCGTGACCGCGGCCAAGTCTCCTCAGAACTCCCCCGTCCCCTGGCCCAGGCGCTGGTATCCAAGCCCCGCACTCACCACCTGGCGAGCAATATCGTTCGCTGCCATCGCTCCTGCGTCCTCCAGGGCTGCCACCGGTGCCGCCGCAATGGGAGCTACTGCACAGGAAACAGAGGAGCTCCTCGACAAAGAGAAAGTGTTACACTTCGGGCGCGACCAAGTCCGGTGGGGGGAGGTGCAAGGGAGGGGCCCTCTTGCCGCTGCTCCAGCCCCAACCTCCCCTCTATCGCCCACCCCCTCGGAAGTAGGGTATGGGGAGGGGGCGGATTTAACCCACTTCCTCCCCTTACAGTGAGTTCCAATTCTCCCTGCAACCTCAGCCGTAGGCCTCTAAGAAGGGGGGCGAGGGCTCCCCTCGTTGACCACGTCCTCTGCCGGCCCCCGCCACTGGACTCCGTGGTACGTCCCGACCTCTGCTGAATTGTCACACCCCCCTGCTCTCCCTCTTATCCCTGACCAGGTTTATGCTTGTTTTTTGCATTAAAAAGCCCCCCCAAAAGATCCCAATGATAAATGTAACTACTGTATATCTAAAAAGTACCAATAAACTACCGGAGTCTCAAAGCTGCACTGTCGTTCACCCCCCTCTTTGACCCGGGAACGTTACTGGGGGGGCAGGGAGGGGGCAGAGGGAGTAGAGGGGCTGCGGCACCTGCAGCTCCACATAGGAGGCTAAAAAGGGGCGGTTAGAGGAAGCCGCGCTGCTGCCCCGATAGTGAGCTGTGACTTGTGGAGCCCGAGGCCAGGGGTCCTGAGATGCCCCTGCTGCCCTGGGGTTCCCAAGCTTCGGGTACTGTAATTTCGTGAAGCCGAGCTCGCCACCATTGGGTACTTAATACAAACGGACTTCACGCCTCTTCTCTTCAACCCAGCGGTAGACGATGGATCGGCAGGAGCACAGGCTCAGACTACCCACTCTTCTAGCGTCCGGTTCGCTGGCCAGTCTCCAAGAGACTGAAGGTCCCCAGCTCTGTGGCTCTGTGGGACAGGAAGGAGGGGCAGGTGAGGGGGAGCGGCCGACAGTGTGACTCTCTTTATCTCTGTCTCTGTCTCTCTCATTCTCCTTTAATCCTAGTTCTATTCGGGACAACGTGGCCGGCATTGCGCAGAAGGTAGAATCCCCGGAGACTAGGACTTTGTGCGCCTGTCTCCTTTTCTCCTGCACTTTTCCACCTCTCCAGCCCTAGCGACCTCCCCTTACCCCTGGGAGCGGCCCCTTGCTACCTCCCTGAGACCGGCAAGCAAAGCAAACTTGACTTGCCTGAGCCCCAAGAGAGCAGAACACTGCACTCCCAAAAAAGGGTGATCCCTGGTCTCAGAGAGGGACCGAGGAAAGGGGGCGGGGTGGAAGAAACCCTGTCTGGGAGGGCGATCCAGTAGATGTCCAGGGAGGAAGCTGCTGAGAGGCAGACAGGAGAGACGAGAAGGAACCGAGGAGAGAGGAAAAGAGAGGGGAGGCAAGGAAATTGAGTGGCCAAGAAGGAACTTCCTTGGCACTTACACTACTGACAACGTTTCTCCCTCACTCAGGGAGCTCTTTATGTTCCTTGTGCACCTTGATAACAAGGACTCCCCAAAGCGTGTCCCCAGTGCCGAGTGGGGAGCCATGTATTCAGGAAGTGTTCCATTAAGTGTCTCCTGGACCGGGAGGGGGACAGTTTGGGGGCCAGAAGAAAGAAGAGATACCAGGAGAGGGTAGCTGTAGGGACTGTCAGGAAGAAGCAAGTATTCATTCCAGTTGGCGTTCACTGGGCCTTGTCCTTGCTCTGGAGACCCAAGAGTGACCTAAAGAGAAGAGCCCGGCATGAGCAGGGACCAGTATAGGGAGTTTGGTGGGACAGATGGCATAGGCCCACAGAACAGATGGTAGTGGCAAGGAAGAGGGGCAGCTGGAGTCTCTGGAGTGCCCAGACACAGCCCCGGGGAGAGATTGGGCCCTGGACTGCAATGGCAGTGAGGCTTGGGCCCAGAGCTAAGTTTGAGGAACTGCAGCGAGGCGGTGAACCAGATGGGGGCAGGGAGTCAGAGGTGACTAGTTGCTTCCCCACTGAGTGTCTAGCAGGGAGAGGCGTCTTCCCCAGCCAAGGCTGGGTCTAGGAGGATGGGACAGGGCCCCAGAGCACTGGCTCAGAGCTTTGATTGGTCCAAGGAGTTTGGGCAGGGGCAAAATTAGAGCTGCTACCTGGAAAGGCAGCAGGTGGTAACCAAAGGCTGTGGGGTTCCCTGGGAATCCTACCTGCCTTCCACCCCCTCACCACTTAGAGTTTCCCTGCTTATCGAAGTTCCTTACCTTTTTTCCTAGCACCCGGGCACCTTAACAGGGAATCCTTGGTGCCTTAACCTCTTGTCCCACACTTGCCTGCCCCTAAAGATGATCAGAACCTTTCGGGGGAGCCTCTCCTCCAAAATGTGGGGTTAAGTATAGAATTCAAGCCTTCCACAACTCTGTCTCCTCTAAGACCTGCCACCTGCTGCTGCAAGCACCTCCTGGGGCCTGGGCCTCCTGGTTTCCATGCAGCACAGTGTGTGTTGGTGTTGATGTATAAGTAGGTGTGCATTTGTACATGTCAGTGTATTTATCTGTATCAATGTGTGCTTGGCTTATTCACTTGGCTTGTTCATGTTTGTGTATTTGCTGGTGAGTGTCTGTGTATAAGGACAGGTGTGGACATATGCCATTTTGTACATGTTGATGTGTTTCAGTAATGTGTTGATATATCTATCTATCTACATAGATATATATATCTATCTATCTACATAGATAGATATATAAAGGTTTGTGTGACCATACTGTGTGCTGGTGTAATGGTATGTGTGTGTGTGTGTGTGTGCACGCACACATGTGTGTCAAGCTGTAGAGAGGTTTTAGTTCACTGTATTCTGGATTTTACATACCTTACCTCAGCGAAGGCAGTGGACCAATGACTGAAGGATGTGAATTATAAAGTTTATTTCAACAGAGATTTGGAAACCTCAGGTCCATACCTCCCAGGTCACCTTCACAGGTGAAGGGGAAATAGAAGGGCTCAGGCGGCAAGAAGTCTCATCTGTAATTAGTTGGTGGGTTTTCTTCCTTGATTATCTGTCCCCACTAATGAGTGAAGTGAAAAGATCACTTTTATGAAAAGGTGTTTTGGGACTCCCAGCAGTGCCATGAACTCACATGCATATTTAATGCATCCTTGTGAGGTCCCTTAGGCCCAGCAGCTGCTCCATGTTTTTGAGTGAAGGAATGTATGGAAGCATGTAAATGGGTCATTTTCAGCATTTCCACCATGCTTAAGGAAGCTGGAGCCAGCCACAACGTCCCTGGGGCCAGCAGGTGACTGTCATTAGCATGCTAAAGTTGTTTGCGGAGCCAGACCCCACCACCACCCTGCCTGGGAGGGGAAGTGGCTATCCTGGCTAGATTAGAGTGGGCCTCCTGGGAGCCAAACTTTTGCAAGATCACTCTAACTGCGAAGCAGGCTGGGGCACTAACACTGGATAAAATGGAGTGGGGGATAAGAGGGAGCCAAGGGCTTGGAAAAAGCCTTTGTCCTAAATCCATGGCTTTATAAAAGGAGAAAGGAACAGTAGAGTAGGTCAAAAGGGGAAAAAACACAGAGAACAATTTGAAAAGTAAGATCAGCAAGTTGGAGGAAGAAGATAAGGCGAGGCAGAAAGAAAATGACCTGGGGTTAACCAAATCCAGACAGCAACAGTTGAGTCAGAAACTCAGTTAAGGGGCAGAGTAAACTAAAGATTACTTTGTGCTTTGTCACCTGCTGCCCCCTGTCTTACATTAGTTTATTTCAGCGGTTCTCAAAATGTGGTCTTTGTCCAGCAGCATCAACTTCACCTGGGAAGTTAAAAGAAATGCAAATTCTCAGCCCCTCCTTCCTCCAGATCTACTGAATCACAATTTATTGGACAGGGACCCAACAACGTGTGTTTTATCAAGTTCACCAAGGGATTCTACTTTACTCTAAAGCTTGCCAGTCTCTGGTTTATCTGAAAATCTATCCCTGGAAGTACAGGACACAGGACTGGTAAGCATGGTAGGATATGGAGGGGAGAATCTGAAGCCTGCCAATAGTAGCAGATGCTGATGAATTTGTAGAGTAGGCAGCAGGAGGGTATGGAGTGCTTAGGGCTGGGGAAGGGGTGCTTAAACAGGAGTACAGCGCCTTGAGACCATAATGTCAAATAAAATAAATCAGACACACAAGTTTAAATATCACATAGTCTGTCCTATATGAGAAACCCAGAGTAAAAATAACGAGCAAAAAAAAAGTTAATAGGAAGAAGGGAGATAGATGGTTCTCAAAGGGGAAAGGATTCAAGAGATGGAGAGAGGGTAGGAGGGAAGGAAATGAAGGGATAAGGGATGAACAAAAGAAATTGGGATGTGTTACATACATGTACCAACTCCACACAAAGAATGTATTATGGAATGCAAACACGTACCAAAAAAATGGGGAGCACTCAAAGAATGAGTGGCAGAGAGGAGAGAGGGGAGGGAAAGGGGATAAAAAGGGAATTTCTGTGTTGTGTGCATGTACAGGGAATGTGAACATTATGTACTACACACATGTACTAATTAACTAAATAAATAATATTCCTAACCATTGGAAAGGAAAAAAGGAGTACAGGAGATCCCTGAATGGAGTTAAAAGGATTCTGAAGATAAACTTTGCCTCCTTTCTAATTTTACATTCATTCCACAAATATTCACTGCATCTCAACTGTGCATTAGTGACTGCACCAAGTGCCAGAGGACAAAAGAATGAATGTGTAGCAAGAGCTCCTCCCTCAACCTTAAGGAGCTCCCACTTGGCAGATAGCTCCACCGATAACCAGTAATGTGATAAGGAATATAATCAGTCAGGAGCAAGACCCTGGGGAGGAAGAGGCCCAAGGAGGTGAGGGAAGTCACCTCAAAGAAGAGCCATTTGGATGGAGTCTCCCAGGAGGAGTGGTTTATCTGGCAGTAAAGGAGAGAGTAGAGGAAACAGCATCTGCAAGATCACAGAAAGGGCAGGGCTAGGGTATAGCTCAGTGGTAGAGCACTTGCCTAGCATGCATGAGGCTTGGGTTCCACCCCTAGCTCCCTGAAAAAGATGAGGGACAGGGAATATTTAGGGAATTCCAAGTCTTAGCCAGAAGGAATGGTGGAGGAGACAGTGAGTATAAATGATATGAGACTGGAAGATAAGCTGAGACCAGGTCTCCAAGTGTCTTGGCTAAAGGTGTAGGGAAAGTGGGAAGGGTAGGGGAAAGGTAATAAGGGAAAAGAAAGAAATAGGAGAAAATGAATAAAAGGAAATGAAGTGTTTGTAAATGGAGAGGGGAGGAGGGGGTGAAGAAAGGGCAGGGACAAGGGGAAAAAATGAGAAACAAGACCTGTCATGTATAGGTACAAGATCCCAATAATGAATGTAACTACTGTATACCT